TAAAGGTGAAGCTAGTTTGAATGACTTTGTATACTGCAGGGTAGCTTGTGGATTTACTCCAGGTGGAACTAAAGTCTGATTTAACTGTTGATTATATTTCACATCATTCAGGCATTAAATAAATGTCCTGGAGTAAAAGTACACCATTTACCTCTGAATTGTAGTAGAGTAGAAGTACAAAGTAGCATAAAGTAAAAGACAAGTATCTCAAAAGTACCTGAGTAAATGTACTAAGTTACTTCCCACCTCTGAACTGGATTCACTTTGACCAGTGTTTAATAAATAAAATACCAGAATACTAATTTGTCTTCTTAATGTTGAGTATTAAACCAGAGATGCCTGAGAAGGGAATGTAGTTTGATTGTAGTATCTACGTTTCTTTCACCGCTACATCCCTGTGTACAGTACATTGAAAGCATGTGTTTGTGCAGCTGTAATAAATCTGTTCACCTGTAATGAACGCAGAATTCTCCGCAGGCCCTCAAAGTCCTTGTCGGTCAGCGGCGTGAAGACCGTCATGGCGTCCTCTGTGGACTGACAATTCGGACACACGTACTGGTCGATGTGGTTGGCCTCGCTCTGCAGGATGCCCACGCAGCGACCGTGGTACCAGTTCTGACACCGGTCACACCCGATATAGAACCTGGGAAGGCAAGCAGTACTTTTACTTGTGATGTTTGCATTGTATTTGTAGTGTGATTTATAGAAATATACATTAGTATAGTAAAGATGATGGTAAGATGTAAAATTGACAAAACAGAGACTTGGAATGTGATTTTCCCCGAAGCAACAACATTGATCAAGTAAAGCAAAAACACATAACTGCTTTTCGCAATTCTTTGGTTGATTTCTGATCAGATTAACTTGTGACACAATTTAAGCGCTTAGTTACAGCTGGAAAACTCTTAGTAGATTATACACTTCCGAATATTGCTTCAAAACCATTTATTCCCGATTTTATGTAATCTAGAAGAGCTGAAGTTATCTCTTTCAAACGCAGGATATTTCTTTCTACTTATGCAGCACATAATCATCTACAAAACTCAACTTTTAACCACAGCTTGAAGTTAAAAATGTTGTGATTTATTTATTGTATATGATTTAAAAATAAATAATTATTCATAATAATGAGGATATTCGTTTTAAGTTTTTTTCTAAGCCTTACTTTTGATATTTAAAAAGATAATCAATTGAAGTGCTCACAGTATTAACCACTATTTGCTTGACTTGTCCTTTAAAAATATATATATTATATTTGTATGCCTCAACCCAATTTGGCATTTTAAGTCCCAACAGAAGCAGAGAGCTACGTAAACACACACACGGACACACACAGATGTACGAACACTCACTGGGACTCGTCGTAGGGCGTCTGACAGATGCAGTACAGCTCCTCCGTGCTGGTCTGCTGTCCCTGTTTGCACTCCACACAGATGTAGTCATCCATCTTCTTAGCCTCCTTCTCCGTGATGCCCACACACTCTCCATGATACCAGTTAGTACACAGGTCGCAACCAATGTAAAACCTGTAGAGAGAAAAGGATACAAAGATGTCAGAAATGTCTCTCAGTACGACAAACTATTTGAGTGTGTCAAAAATAGACCAAAAAAGTCGGTTGAAAATTAGGTTCCACATCTAAAGGATGGATTAGGCAAAATAGATAAGTAAAATAGTGATGCCTTTTTTTGTGTCATGTGTGTGAAGTTAGAAAAAAGAAAATGCTTATAGCAAAATGCAAGATACAAAAGTTTGCTGTATTTTTTTTTATTTTTTATG